GATGGTGCATCAGCAGCCCATGCATGATGGTGCATCAGCAGCCCATGCATGATGGTGCATCAGCAGCCCATGCATGATGGTGCATCAGCAGCCCATGCATGATGGTGCATCAGCAGCCCATGCATGATGGTGCATCAGCAGCCCATGCATGATGGTGCATCAGCAGCCCATGCATGATGGTGCATCAGCAGCCCATGCATGATGGTGCATCAGCAGCCCATGCATGATGGTGCATCAGCAGCCCATGCATGATGGTGCATCAGCAGCCCATGCATGATGGTGCATCAGCAGCCCATGCATGATGGTGCATCAGCAGCCCATGCATGATGGTGCATCAGCAGCCCATGCATGATGGTGCATCAGCAGCCCATGCATGATGGTGCATCAGCAGCCCATGCATGATGGTGCATCAGCAGCCCATGCATGATGGTGCATCAGCAGCCCATGCATGATGGTGCATCAGCAGCCCATGCATGATGGTGCATCAGCAGCCCATGCATGATGGTGCATCAGCAGCCCATGCATGATGGTGCATCAGCAGCCCATGCTTGATGGTGCATCACCAACCTCCTCCTCTCTCCCCTCCACTCTGCTATGGCACCCACTCTGCTATGGCACCCACTCTGCTATGGCACCCACTCTGCTATGGCACCCACTCTGCTATGGCACCCACTCTGCTATGGCACCCACTCTGCTATGGCACCCACTCTGCTGTACCCCCATGCAGGCTGGTGGTGGATCTGGGAATGCTGGGCGTCATGCTGCACCAGCAGCCCATGATGCCCATCACCTTCTATTCCTCACCGCCTGGCGTCAGCAAGAGCATGAGCCAAGAGCTTCTGGAGGAGGAGATCACAGCCTGTAAGCGAGTCAGCTTATACCAGGCCCGTATCCCCCTGATGTCAGCTGCAGCAGAAGATACCATGATTTGCACGCATAGGAGATTGCAGTCTGTAAACGAGGCAGGTTATAGCGTGTCAGCTACAGCAGCAGCAGCGTAAGCCAGGATGTGCTAGAGGACGATTCAGTAAGCCTAGAGTGTGCCTTAATCCTGCTGATGTCAGCAGACAGTACCGATACCCCACCTAAGAGCTGGTAGTGCAGGAAATGAGTGCATGCGAGGAGATGAGTGCATGCGAGGAGATGAGTGCAGAATCTCACTTTCCTTCCCTCGCCCATTCCTCATCTCATCCTCTCCCCTCCCCTCACCTGCTCACCTGCCTCACCTGCCTCACCTGCCTCACCTGCCTCACCTGCCTCACCTGTCTCACCTGCCTCACCTGCCTCACCTGTCTCACCTGCCTCACCTGCCTCACCTGTCTCACCTGCCTCACCTGCCCCCGTCACACACCTGTCTCACCTGCCCCCGTCTCACCTTGTCCGCCAGTCACCCTGGGCATGGCACTGCACGACCCCAGCACGCCCGAGTGGCCCATCTACATGCCCATGGCCAAGTCCCTCATCCGCGCCATGGATGCCACCCACCTCGCTGCCAGGGAGCTGCTGCCGCACGTGCCGGTGAGTGCTGTGCTGCTGCTGCCTCAGTGTTATCGCTTGCTTGCCTGCAAGGACTGGTTCTTCATGTCATCGCATCAGTTGTGTCAGGCTCCCTTCCGCCCCTGCCCAAGGCCATCCGCCATGGATGCCATGGATGCCATGCACGTCACTGCTTGACATAGATGTAGGAATGCATGCACGCATGGGGGTAGGGATGCATGCACGCATGGGGGTAGGGATGCACGCACGCATGGGGGTAGGGATGCATGCACGCATGGGGGTAGGGATGCACGCACGCATGGGGGTAGGGATGCACGCACGCATGGGGGTAGGGATGCACGCACGCATGGGGGTAGGGATGCACGCACGCATGGGGGTAGGGATGCACGCACGCATGGGGGTAGGGATGCACGCACGCATGGGGGTAGGGATGCACGCACGCATGGGGGTAGGGATGCACGCACGCATGGGAGTAGGGATGCACGCACGCATGGGAGTAGGGATGCACGCACGCATGGGGGTAGGGATGCACGCACGCATGGGGGTAGGGATGCACGCACGCATGGGGGTAGGGATGCACGCACGCATGGGGGTAGGGATGCACGCACGCATGGGGGTAGGGATGCACGCACGCATGGGGGTAGGGATGCTCGCACGCATGGGGGTAGGGATGCACGCACGCATGGGGGTAGGGATGCACGCACGCATGGGGGTAGGGATGCACGCACGCATGGGGGTAGGGATGCACGCACGCATGGGGGTAGGGATGCACGCACGCATGGGGGTAGGGATGCACGCACGCATGGGGGTAGGGATGCACGCACGCATGGGGGTAGGGATGCACGCACGCATGGGGGTAGGGATGCACGCACGCATGGGGGTAGGGATGCATGCACGCATGGGGGTAGGGATGCACGCACGCATGGGGGTAGGGATGCACGCACGCATGGGGGTAGGGATGCACGCACGCATGGGGGTAGGGATGCACGCACGCATGGGGGTAGGGATGCACGCACGCATGGGGGTAGGGATGCACGCACGCATGGGGGTAGGGATGCACGCACGCATGGGGGTAGGGATGCATGCACGCATGGGGGTAGGGATGCACGCACGCATGGGGGTAGGGATGCTCGCACGCATGGGGGTAGGGATGCACGCACGCATGGGGGTAGGGATGCACGCACGCATGGGGGTAGGGATGCACGCACGCATGGGGGTAGGGATGCACGCACGCATGGGGGTAGGGATGCACGCACGCATGGGGGTAGGGATGCACGCACGCATGGGGGTAGGGATGCATGCACGCATGGGGGTAGGGATGCACGCACGCATGGGGGTAGGGATGCACGCACGCATGGGGGTAGGGATGCACAGGGGCACAGATGCGTGGGGTGGGGGTAAGGTACGACTGCACTTGTTATGAGCTATTACCTGAAATTGCCAAGTCCGGGCCGACCCATGCCCCCCCGCGCCGCCCCAGTCCTGCCCAGGGCTGGCCAGTTTGCATTGCAATGATGGCTGGCCCACAGCCCACCCACCATAGTCGCTCCAAGGCGATGGTTGATGGGTGTTTAATTATGGGTGATGGATGCATGTAGAGTGATGGATGCATGTAGAGTGACAGATGGGTGATGATGGATGTGATGGGAGATGGATGGGATGGGAGATGGATGGGATGTGTGATGGATGGGATGTGTGATGGATGGGATGTGTGATGGATGGGATGTATGATGGATGGGATGTGTGATGGATGGGATGTGTGATGGATGGGATGTATGATGGATGGGATGGGAGATGGATGGGATGTGTGATGGATGGGATGTATGATGGATGGGATGTGTGATGGATGGGATGTATGATGGATGGGATGGGAGATGGATGGGATGTGTGATGGATGGGATGTATGATGGATGGGATGTATGATGGATGGGATGGGAGATGGATGGGATGTGTGATGGATGGGATGTATGATGGATGGGATGTATGATGGATGGGATGTGTGATGGATGGGATGTGTGATGGATGGGATGTGTGATGGATGGCATGTATGATGGATGAATGACACATCGCGCATTCCAGCCTCACTACCGCCATCTCTCTGCTCCAGCCCATCCCATGCCACTCTCTCTCCTCCCTGATTGTGTCGTGTGTGCCCCATTCTCCATTCCCCCTCCCCCCGCCAGGTGGAGGGCTTTGTGAGTGTGGGAGTGAGCAAGCGAGCATGCATGGCTTGGCTCTCTGCCGCGCTCGATAAGGCATGTTTTCCTTCTCACTTATATGAAGCAGCTTGTTATATGTACGTGCATTTGTTTTTGTTTTTGTTTTCGTTTTTTGTTTTCCTTCTCTCTCTATCAATTTGGGTTCTACTTCATCTGTAACTGAACGTGCCTTTCATCATGGCTTTCAAATTGCATTTCCTCCTTTCTTTCCACATCGTCATTTCATCTGCCCTCAGCACGCCCCCACTCTGTCCCTCTCTCCCTCTTCAAACCCAGCTGGCCTCAACCACCCATCTGTGCTCCTTACCTCCCGCCACCCACTCTGCCCCTCTCTCTCTTCTCTCCCCACAGCGAGTGGTGGCCTTCATATCATACGGCTACGATCTCATCAACTTTCAGCCCAACATGCAGCACCTGCTCGACTCGCTGGGTGCTGTTCCCATTTTGGGAAGGTTCTACGTAGATTACAACCTCACTCGCTTCCTGCACACCCCACAGCTGCGCCACATCCTGGTGAGAAGGGAGGGATTGAGAGATAGAGAGGGTTAGAGAGGGATGGAGAGGGATAGAGAGGGATGGAGAGGGATAGAGAGGGATAGAGAGGGAGAGAGAGGGAGAGAGGCATGGGGGCGGTGGTTTCTTCCCTGGGTGCCGTGCCCATCCCGGGGTGGTTCTACGTGGATTACAACCTCACTCGCGTCCTGCACACATCCTGCACACACAACAGCTGCACCACATCCTGCACACACAACAGCTGCACCACATCCTGGTGTGAGGTCGGGATTTGGGGTTCAGGTCAATGGAAAAAAGTGTGGGGTTTAGGGAGGGAGGTAGGCAGGGGCGGAGTGGGAGGTAGGCAGGGGCGGAGTGGGAGGTAGGCAGGGGCGAAGTGGGAGGTAGGCAGGGGCGGAGTGGGAGGTAGGCAGGGGCGGAGTGGGAGGTAGGCAGGGGCGGAGTGGGAGGTAGGCAGGGGCGAAGTGGGAGGTAGGCAGGGGCGAAGTGGGAGGTAGGCAGGGGCGGAGTGGGAGGTAGGCAGGGGCGGAGTCCTTGCGGAGTTCTAGTCAACAGCCCAGCCCGAAAGCTCTCCAACCATGCTTCTGGGAACGCTTAATTTTTTTCAAAACCCTTTTCTTTCACTCCACGCCTGACAGACAACAAATGCCACTGACTCACGAGCTCGTCCCCCCCTCCCTTCCCTCTTTCCCTCCCACTCCCTACCCAAACCCTCCCACCACCACCCCCCTTCCCTTCTCCCTCCCCACCCCTTTCCCCCCACCCCCACAGAGCTACACGGATCCATACTTCTTCCGGGAGCGCCTCAGCATGCCCAAGCTGCTCATCGCCGCCTCCAACGACGAGTTCTTCTCCATGGACGACTCGTGAGTGCACGCCCCCTTTTGATGCCTCTCCGCATAGCCTTGAAGGGTGACTCGTGAGTGCCCCATGCCCCCTTCATTGCTGCTGAATAGACGACTCGTGAGTGTTGCATAAATGACTCGTACGCACGTCCCTGGTTGTCCGTTCAGTGCGCGTCGCCTCAAGTGCCTGTTTGTTCTATTTTGTGCACGTCCTCATTCATTTGCAGGGAAAGCTGCTCACGTATTTAAAAAATTTATGCACGGAAAAATTTGCATGTTGTTTTGTTTTCCCTTGAGTGCGCATCCCATGTCACAGCACTTGCGCACGTGCCAAGACATGTGTGTTTCTTCTTTCTCAACTTCCTCTCGCCAGTACGAGTACTCTCAGATAATGGTTCGGGGCACCTCAGAATGCCACACACCCTTTTTTTCTCTTCGCCCACAACCCCTTTTTGCCACCCTTGCTGGCTCCATGTGCTCGCACGCGTCCATTCCTCACTCTCACTCTCCCCTCGTGGGTGCGCCTGGCAGGTACTTCTATTACAACGGCCTGCCACCCCCTACGCTGCTTAAGATCGTGGCCAATGTGGACCACATGGTCATCCAGAAGTCCTACTGGGTACGCCCTTACCCTCCAATCCTCTTTGCGTGTTTTGAGACTTTTTGGAGCACTCATTCTGATGTGTCAGTGGGTGAGGTCCTCCGCTCTCATGTCCCTCCCCCCCCCTCACACTGCTGACCTCTCCTTCCGCTTCTCACCCCTATTTCCTGTCGCCTTTATTTCCTTGTCACCCTCCCCCCTCCCTGCTTCTCTTCTTTACTCCCACCCAATCCTTCAGGCCTATGATGCGGTCATCTCCTTCCTCTCCTCTCTCCTGCACGTCAACTCCTCCTGCACCTCTCGCCCCGCCTCCTCCCGTCCCTCCCTCACCTGGACTCCCCCTACCAACCCCACCCCCTCCTCCCTCATTCCCCAAACCACCTCCACCTCGTCAGACTCCCCTTCCTCTCACGCCCCTCACAACCCTCACAGCCCTCAGCCTTCCAGTCTCCCAGACGCAGAGGCAGCAGCAGTGGGGGCGGCAATGGGGGCAGCAGTGGCAGCAGCACAGAACCCCCCCTGGGAGTGCGTTCCTGAGCTGCCAGCTGTTGATTGGCCGCGGCTGAGGTGGCGGTTTGATTGGCCCACGTTCACCATTCATGCCACGTCAGACAGGAAGCCATTGGCGGTTAGAGCATGGTGAGAGATGGGGAGGGGAATGGGTAGGGTGATAGGGGATGGGGATGGGTACGAGGAATGAAGGGGGAATGGATACGTGGTGGGGAGAGAAGAAGGTCTAGTGGGAATGGAAGGTGCAGGACTCTCAGAAAGCAAGGGATGTTGGCTCGTTCTGATTTTTCCCGTTGTACGAGCCACCAAAGCACTGCCCCGCAGGGGGGGAAAGGTAGGGAATGTTGGCCTGGCTGAAAGGCGCCGCCCATCTCTGACCTGGCTGAAAGGCGCCGCCCATCTCTGACCTACTAGCCGATGCTTGAGGCAGGCAGTCAGGGAAGGGGATGCTGGTGGACCAAGGGGCTGCTGCCTTGGCATATGCGCTGCAAGGAGCTGCCTCTGCTCTGAACCTCGTGAAGCACGTGGCTGTGAATCACACTGCTGTGAACCATGTGGCTGTGAATCACACTGCTGTGAACCATGTGGCTGTGAATCACACTGCTGTGAACCATGTGGCTGTGAATCACACTGCTGTGAACCATGTGGCTGTGAATCACACTGCTGTGAACCATGTGGCTGTGAATCACACTGCTGTGAACCATGTGGCTGTGAATCACACTGCTGTGAACCTGTGAATCACACTGCTGTGAACCATGTGGCTGTGAATCACACTGCTGTGAACCATGTGGCTGTGAATCACACTGCTGTGAACCATGTGGCTGTGAATCACACTGCTGTGAACCATGTGGCTGTGAATCACACTGCTGTGAACCATGTGGCTGTGAATCACACTGCTGTGAACCATGTGGCTGTGAATCACACTGCTGTGAACCATGTGGCTGTGAATCACACTGCTGTGAACCATGTGGCTGTGAATCACACTGCTGTGAACCATGTGGCTGTGAATCACACTGCTGTGAACCATGTGGCTGTGAATCACACTGCTGTGAACCATGTGGCTGTGAATCACACTGCTGTGAACCATGTGGCTGTGAATCACACTGCTGTGAACCATGTGGCTGTGAATCACACTGCTGTGAACCATGTGGCTGTGAATCACACTGCTGTGAACCATGTGGCTGTGAATCACACTGCTGTGAACCATGTGGCTGTGAATCACACTGCTGTGAACCATGTGGCTGTGAATCACACTGCTGTGAACCATGTGGCTGTGAATCACACTGCTGTGAACCATGTGGCTGTGAATCACACTGCTGTGAACCATGTGGCTGTGAATCACACTGCTGTGAACCACGTGGCCGTGAATCACACTGCTGTGAACCATGCCCCCCCTCTCCGTCGCTGCAATGCAGGACTGGGCGCACGAGGCCAGGCAGCAAACGGCGGGACTTCAGGTTCATTGTGAAGCAGGGGCTCACGGGGTGGTGAGTGCAGGGCTCACGGGGTGGTGAGTGCAGGGCTCACCGGGTGGTGAGTGTTGTGCTGGGTGGGGAAATGGGTGACGCGGCTCTGAGATGACTGGCGGGTGAGCATGTTGGCTGGGTCCTCTCATCTGGACTGTTGGTTCATTGTGAAGCGCGTCACCGTGTGGTGAGTGCGGTGCAGAGGAGGAAATGGGTCGCGAGGCTCAGATGAATGGTGGATGAATGTGCTGGTTCAACTGGGCGATTGATTCTTCTTCGTATTCATGGTCAAGCAGGGGCTCTCCAGGTGGTGAGTGCAAGGAAGATGGTGAGTGCAAGGAAGATGGTGAGTGCAAGGAAGATGGTGAGTGGAGAGCTTGGTGGAAGGGCGTTTGGTATTTATATCGTGTCTAATCTCCACTGTTATTATTCCGGAGTGGTCCATGTTCATGTGGTGTTACACCTGGTAACGAATCTGCCCGTGTGTGTTCACTGCTGCGTGAGTGAGCAAATGGTTCTCTCCTCTACCCTTACCTCTCCATTCATCTCCACCCCCTTCTCCCATCCTCCTTGCCAGCACGGTGCCATTCAAGAGTGCGCCGGGCAGCTACATAGCCAAGTTCGGCACGCTCTGTGTGCAGCCCATCCCGTTCCTCCTGCATGCTGTCTCTCCGCCTGCGCTACAGCCGGATGGGCTCTGGTACTTCAATTCCTCCATCAGAAACGTTCCCAAGGTGAGTGTGGTCAAGTGGTGATTGCGTGTGTGTGGTGAAGGGAAATTAGTGTAATGAAGTGTATCAATGTTTAACAAAGTGCTAACAGTCCTATGAAGTTAAGAGATGTGGTAGTTGTTTCATGGGGAATCGTTTCCAAGTAAGCTGTGATATGGCAAGAAATGCTGCCATGAGGGAGGAGCAGCATGAGGGAGGAGCAGCATGTGATGCTCTGCTTCAGCTACTATTCGGTCCATACCTTCGGTGGCTTTTCCAGCTGTAATATAGTTTCAAACAACCTGGTTCTCCCAAGTTCCCACCAGTTGATGCTATATCCTTCTCTCTATACCATAAAAATTGTGTTCACAGTCCAACGCTCACTTTCTCTGCTAATTATACCGAAGTTTCTTTTTATGCTTTGACCATCTTTTACTATGGTCATGTAACCTTGTATGATGAATGCACTTCTCCCACATTTTACTCTGCTCCCTCCATTGTGCTCTGCACTTGTGGACAGGTGGGCTATCGAGCATTGTTTATAGAAGTTGATTTCAATCACGGACCATATCACAAGCCCTTTGTTCTCACCACCGAATCCATGATAGCACCAAACACATTTCCCTTTGCCCCTTGCAATAGCACAGCTTGCTTGACTGAATTTGCATGATTCTGTATCGGTTTTCTCTTGGCGTTGAGCTTGCTCGAGAAAAAAAAAGGCAAAGCGTTTGTACTCAACGTTCTAACAAATTCTTCACAAGCAGCCAGGGCTGACGTTTCAAATTTGGGCCTCCCTGTACCCAAAAAAAAAAAAAAAAAAAAACAAGAGGCGACGAAATCGTCTTAGGGTTGCGAAGCAACATTACACTGAAATTTTAAGCTGCACTTGACATATAATGAGAATTATATGATATCGTAACATAACTTTGATATTTGATGAACTACTGCTATTTACATATAGATTGACATATAATATAGGTTTACATATATGAATAGGGGTGCTCGTTTTGGATATAGATTCTGAATGTTAAGAACCTTCTTTATGTTAAGTTATTCTTATTCTGTTCAGATTATTTGGTTTTATGGTGACTGGAAATCTGGAAACAACAAAACTACAAAACGAAGCGACTTTCCAGAATCAATGTGCACGACCGGACCTGAGCCGCCGTCCTTCGCGATTAATCGCGACTTCGATAGCGCTGTGCCTAACACGCTGTCACGTTTTGGCGCTAAAGTTGTAAGTAAATAATTGCGATGAAAAACCCATCCTAGGGTTTCGTCAAATTCCTTTTTGCTTCGTTTCTCTTCCGACTTCTCACGCCACTCTAGCTTCTCCCGTCCCTCACGTCACTCACGCTACTCACGCCCCAGACTAGTGCTCATATTAAGGTAAGCCATATTCTCTCTATTTCTTAAGCTCATTCTAGTTGAGAGTGGGTCCTAGTTTAACTCATTATGGTTGAGAGTTTGTTTTTTAAACGAGATCTAGACGTATATGTTAACCAGAAGATGATGTATCATCCTGCCTTATTGTTGTATCATCCTCTCTTTCATTCCGTTTTGTCTAGCTCAATTTCGTCGCTTTTTTTAGTTTCTTATTGTTTCTTACCGTTCCTCCAATCTCCATCGGTTATGCCTTATCTCTCTCTCTCTCTCTCTCTCTCTCTCTCTCTCCTCTCTCCTCTCTCTCTCCTC